ACTATAACGAATCAGCGTTCTACAGAGTCGCGTTAAGCGAAGTCAGCCTGGTATATGTGAACACGATTTTGTTTTACATACACACAATCCTTTTGTTTTTATTACAGTACGTGCATGTATTGTGAACTTAACTAATTGACGTATTGTTATGATTATTGCACGTCACCTGCTTCCGGCAGGGGTGAGGATATGATTGCTAACCTTGTGAATGGACCAAACCCAGACACACTGCATTTCCAGTCAGCCGAGGTCTATAAAACCTGTGGTAGAGTTTAACACAGTACCACCAGATCTCGGTACAAATACATTCAATCAATTCCTGCCCACCCAAACACAGATGCCAATTCCAGGACTGTCCGAGGAAACCTGGACAGTCCTGGGATTGGATTCTCCACCTCAGGTTGCCGACTTGTCCGGGTCACACACAGACAGGTGGCAACCCGAGGTGGAGAAGAATAATTTCCATACCGAGGCCAGAAACGGACTTTCAATTACCTCTGGCGGGCCACATATTACCACTCCTTTGTGTTAACAAGAGCTTGGAATCATGAGTCGATTTTCAATTAATTGACAAAAATTGGTAACCAACTACATTTGTGTTGGGCGATTACTCGGGCCGCTTCAGGATAATCGTTCAGTACTGTTTAATTAAATGGCTCCAAAGACGACCCTAATAATTATAAACTGATCTCTTCTTTCACCAGTTACTAAAATATTGGAAGAAATACTTAAACCACAAATAAACTGTTACCTAAAAAGGCACAATCTTCTGTACAGCAAACAGTCTGGTTTTCGAGAAGATGGTTGCATTACATTTTCTCTTCAGTAATATGGATAAAGGCCACTGTGCACCGTTCCTCGACTTGATGAAAGCCTTTGATACTGTTGACCATGATATTCTTCTCACAAGTCTTGATTAACTAAATATTTCAGGCGATGCAATACACTGGCTTAAGAGTTACCTTTCAGAACGTTCTGAAAAGGTACAACGTGATAACACCTCGTCCACAAATATTAAAATAACAAGGGTGTTCCACAATTCTGGATGTAATTATGTTATCTTTATATTTAAACAATATTGGACTCAACTTAAATCACTCGGAATAAAAAAATGATGACAATGTCATGCTAGTATTGGGTAAATCTCCAAACGAAGTAAAAAAGAATCCCCAACATCACTAAAATTGCCCCTAAATTCGAACAAAAATCCAGTTTCATCCCCTTCACCTATCACGTATTTCAGAAATAAGATCATATTCGTTGGGTTTTTCGATCTAGTCACGTAGAACACGTTCTTTTTTTTTACAAAAAACTATGACGTTTCGATCGCAACACAAGCAATCGTCATCAGGAGAAAAAAGAGGGGGAAAGCTGCTGAGGCAGGCTGTTTTAAAGGTTTGAAATGGGCGTAGCCCAAGGGTCGTACACGAAGTGGGCGGGGCTAGTGATGTTAAAGTGAGAAACTTGCATGCAAATGTAAGATCGGAGAGCTACATCCACGACGAGGGCGAGGAGGTGGTCATTGTATTGTGAGAAATTAGCATGTCAATGTAAGATTGCAGAGCCGCCGCCACATCGAGGACACGAGCGACGGTGGCTGTGTTAGTGTGAGACATTTAACCTGTTAATGTCAAATCAGAGAGTCGAACATATCTGATAAGGGAGAACCAATTGGGTGACCTTCAACTTGTTTGTAGAATGTTCCATTCCAGGTGAAGTAAGTGTTGGTGAGGCAGTGTCTAACTAGGGCTGGTACATCAACATTCAGTCCTTGTTGGACCAAATTTTCAATGATTGCAATGGTGTCAGGCACAGGAACTTTGGTAAACAAAGATACTACATCGAAACTAACGAGCAAATCACCTGGAGATAGTGAGATGTCCTTAATTAACGATACCAAGTGAGCTAAGTACAGCTGAGGTGGTCTTACCAGTGAATGGTTGTAAGGTCTCAGACAGAAATCTGGCCAGTTTTTAGGTGGGTGAGTCAATGATGGAGACGATAGAACAAAGTGGTGTACCTTCTTTATGGATTTTTGGTAAGCCATACAATCTGGGTGGTCTAGCAGCAGAGGGTTTTAAGGAAAACCGCTTGGTTGGTTCTATTACAGATGTCAAGAAACAAGGTCATTGAACAAATTGAGTCCTTCAAATACTTGGGTTTGCGGATTGATTCATAACTTAATAACTTACATTCCAACCCCATATTGATAGCATCTGAGAGAAAATAATATTCAAAAATGGCTTTTATACAGAAACATTCTGCAAGTTGTTGAAGCTATCATTCTATCACATTTTAACTACTTTGACGCTGCTTACAGATCAGCTACTAATGAAACACTAACAGTAGAAACCCGTATTCTTGGTTCTTTCGGTAAAGTGTCGTTGAAGTGAAACAATAAAATAATAAAATATATTGTTTCCCTTCAACGTGACTTTACCGAAAGAACCAAGAATATGAATCACTGCAGTCACGAAAACTTTACATCAAAAGTAGAAACCCGCTTTATCATTCCGCTCTTAGATTTACACTGGATGTAGTACAGGACCCACTGTTGTAACCTCTAATTAACATTTAATCTCACATTACTTGATGCAAGAAGAAATATACACTGGGCCCTGTCCATTCCATTGACAGTCATTATATAGATAAACCAGAGTTGGTATGTGTATGAAATTCAATAATACACAGCTGACGGCTCTTATCTATAATCATAACACACATCAGCTCTTAGGAGGACAATATAGAGTAGCTTCTTCACAAGGCAACAGTATAAAGTATACAATAAAACATCCACAATAGCTTGCAGGCATTGGTTAAAATTCCACAAAAGTGATATGCAACAATCCGGTCCAAGGATGCTACTTACTTCAAAATTCACGTCAGACCAGTGAGCACATCAATGATTTGATTCAAGAGTTCAAATCCCAGGCGTCGTTACCACATGTCTTAGTTTTGCCAGGACATCCTTCATTTTGAGGTAGTTGTCCTCGTAAATCTGTAATTCTTCCCGGGATATTCAGTGTCCCAGTCTTTATCAGTTGCATACAAATACACCGCTTGCAACTACATGTAGTTCTACCCATGTGGTCATCATCATCATCACTATTATCTGGTATTGTGAGATTCAGTATTCGTTTTTTGATCTCAGAGTTGGCAACCCTACAGTCAATTCCAGTCATGATCATAGATTATCTGTGGTGGGTTCAATTAGTACCACCTTCGGAAAGTTTCAGAGTTTGGTGGGAAGTCAGCTTTGGGTGTCTACTAAACTGGCCCGTGCTTTAGGAGCATGCACTTTCCACAACCAGCTCAGGTAAGTAATTGGGAATGAACACAGCACGTAGCTCGTTTGAGCATGGACATTTTTAAATTTGACATTCACATTTACAAAATATCGTACCATGCACATTTTTGTACTTGAGCACAGTACTACGATTTGTGAGCAGGAAATCATCAGTCTTGGTCAATCTGTTGTTAGATGAAGGCCTCTCTAAGATTCTGCCATCTATGATGATCCTGCATTGTAACAGTTCACTGAACAAATGTGCATGAATTGATTTAATCACTCCATCTCCTGGGTGAAAATCCTCTCGGATCCATTCGACTCCTTGGCTATTACTCCCTTATTATTCTTGACCATCTGCCCATCATTATTTTCCCTGTGTTTTTCCCAAGCCTACTTACTTTTTGACGTTTGAATGTCACAAACCTGCATACATATTCTTGGTTCTTTCGGTAAAGTCATGTAAAAGGAAACAATAAAATAATAAAAATATAAAAAATAAAATTCTCACAACGTTTCGACTGCAACACAAGCAACCATCATTAGGTGTGAAAACCACAGCAAGAACATTTTCTGATGATGATTGCTTGTGTTGCAGTCGAAACGTCGTGATAATTTTATTGTTTTATATTTTTATTATTTTATTGTTTCCCTTCTACGTGACTTTACCGACAGAACCAAGAATATGAATCCCTGCAGTCACGAAAGCTTTAAATCAAAACCTGCATATGTTATTTAATCCATGTGTTCCTCTTTCGGTCTCTAAATTTAATTACAATCGTGCATCTCCCCATTTTGGGCACTTCCGTTTTTGTTTCATTTATTTTGTATGACAATGCTTCTGAAACATATATGAGAGCAGGTAATAATGCATTCATTACAATGTTATTCTTTAGGCATATCCATACGTTGTTTTTCATGATCAAGTTCAGCCTCCAATAGCACTTCAACATGCTGTCTCTCGTCTGCATATTTACACACACACAATCTGCTGTGTTTTCCAGTTGTCTCTCCAATAGAAATCTTCACTTGTTTAGCAAACTTTGCTGCGCATATCATTTGGTTATGACGAGACCCACTTGGCAGCCTTAATCTGCATTCCTTGCAGACAATTTATATTCGACATTATGAAGACGATTTCGTCAGAAAATCTGAGATAGTTAATGTTCTCCTCATTAACATTCACGCGTATCTTTTTCCATTACAATGTTTTGCCAAATAATCTTTTGCTGCTCTGCAATAAATTTGGGCCAAACATTGTGCCACCTTGCGATGATGACTTTATGTCAAGCAGATCACGAAACTTGAACCCGAAATCCGCCACGACGGTTTCAACATTTTTTTCCCCCAGCTCGCCCACCCGTCCGTAAACCGCACGGCACAATTGTTGGTGGAATTTCGAGGACAATTTACGGTTCTTTCCGGTCAACAAAACAAACGAACCGGGATTGCCCTGATTTTGACAATTGTCAATTGTCAGCTTACCAGCCTCCTGCCCCCCACCTCCCCAATGCCCCATTAAAGACGGGGGTCACGTGGGCCCTGCACCGAGGCGGCGGGCAATGGCTGCGTTGCCTTCTCGCGAAGGTTTCAACTGACGGCTTCGTGACACAACAAGAACGACGATAGCAACAACGTTAAAAAAAAAAACAACGCCAATGGCTTTAGCGAACGCAACTTTAACGAGGACGCGCGAATGTTAGCTAAGGTGAGCGCGTCGTTGTTTCCCGCTGTTATAGTTATTTTGCTTTGTTAAGATGTAAATGCCAACGGCGTCCAGGGTTTGGGCCTAGTCCAAGACTTGTCTAGTACCAATCAGGGCCCAGATGCTGCGCTTGTGTTGTTATGTTAAACAAAAAAAAAACAATAATTCGTATTGCCGTTTCTTTTATCAGAGTTAAAATACGTTGTCGCCGTTGCTAACTTGGCGTTGAGCGTGGAGTTGACGCTTCAATGGTGTTGCTATTATTAAAGCAGGCGCGTAACGAGACGTTCGCTCGCGTTGCCTGTGGCCTAGCTTGGGCTGCCTTATGTTGCAATGTAAACACTCGACGTTTCGTACTGCATTGCGATTGATTCTTTGCTGTTCCAGATACTATAATTCACGGCGACGTTCATATTGTATTGACGGTGTTGAAACGAAAGCAAACACGTGCACATTTTTGTTGCAGAAAGTCGCATGCACTTTGTTTTCCCCCCTCCACCCCCCTGTGCAGCGCTTTGCAGCGTCCGTTTAACTTTGATACGGTACATGGACGATATTTCTCAACAACATGTTTTTTCTCAGTCGTTTTGAGCATTGATAATATACAATCGCAAATTGTGTAAGGGACAATAGGGCCGTGGGGCGTTTTTGGCGCTTAGCCTATGCACCCAGTTTTACCAGAGTTCGATTCTCGACCGCGGCGGCGAGGGATAACAACTTGTCCTGGGACGCCTCCTGAATCCCCCCCCACACTCACACCACACTCACACCACACACACACACCACTGTGTGTCTTCTTGCATCATGAAAGTGTGAACAGACATCCCTGATGATCCGTGTCGACGGCATGGGGAGGCCGCCTTCATCCAGCAGTGGATTGCCAAAGGGCTGTAAATTACAACTTCAAAGAATGCAATTCTTTTCCCCCACCATTGGCAAAAGTATACGTAAATGCTCACCACCAGACTTGAATTGGGTGAAGTATGGTCAAATAGGACTGAATTATGCAGGCTATATATGATTTGAACGATATCAAATGTGTATGAGTACAGTACTCTATGAACAAATCACTTGGAATGTGCCAGAGCCTGTCGGACCTCAAGCCAAGCACAGTCTGTTGGGTTTATATTGTACAGTGCTTAAATGTGTGACCAGATAACACAATCAATTGGTCTTGTACATTTTCCGCACTTTCACCAACCCTCACTGACCAGCGTGGTGAAGTATGGCCATAAGCCCTCGCTGCCTGAGGAGGAGGCCCTCATCCATCAGTGGATTGACAAACGGGCTTTACATGCATAGGCAATATACTTATTGGACTGTTAGGTCTGTATACTGCATGTGTGCATTTTAATTCTAAATGTAATACTAATGTATATATTTTTTAAGTGATATACATTTGCATGTTCACATCTTGGTCAATCCACTGCTGGATGAAGGCATCTCCGCGTTGTGTGGGTCACACTAACTGTTTGCGATATTGCATACATATACACTCTACATGGAGCAGAGCAGCTGACTAAAATGTCAAGGGTTTTTATTGCTATTTGAGAAACAATGTATATTTTTTGCTTGATCAGTCTATATTATCGCTGAAGCTGCGTAAAGTAGGTAAATGCATTGCTAAGAATACATGTACACTAGATCTCTTATCTTCAAAAGAGCCATCTTGTGGTTCCTTTAATCTGGCAAGGCCAATCCAATATACGACAAATTTATGGAATTAAATACCTTTTTTGTGGATAACCACCATATTTTTTTTATTAAAGTGTGTTTTCCGTGATTTATCTTAATCTGATTCTCTTTTTCAGGTCATTACTAGAAAGATTATTTCTATTGTACTATAATACAAACTGCAAAGTACATCACAGACATTTGCGTTCAAATACAACTATGCTGTGATGGTCAATGTACCTATACTATTATGCACATTGTGGTTGTTGATGTAACGGATTAATGGGGATACTAAATATACATTTAACAGCTTTTGACGTTATGCAAATCTAACAATTGCTTTTGCAGATTGTTATAGTGAATGGAAAATAAGTTAATGATCAATGATATGCTTGACAGTTTTGGCAGGATGCTCTTGCAAAGGATGCTAGCAGAAAGGTACTGGTAAAGTGAGCAAGGCAGGCAAAGGGAGTATGACTGAGAAGATGGACCTGAGTGTTTTATATAAAGTCACAGTCTTTGACAGGTAAATTGTAAACACTTTTTTTTATTGAACTTAAACTGTAATATTGGTGATGGATGTGGAAAGGTATTGTGGTGCTTTGTAATTCATTTATGAGGTATTTATTTTTCTTTACATTTCCCATCACGTACATGCCAAAATGGACGTAAGCGTGCAGGCTATACGTTCATTTATTGTCTTTATCTAGTTAATGTTTCTTATTTAATGTGAGCATTGCTCTAATTTAACATTTGCATGCAGTTATGACTTAACAAAGCACTTATGAATTACAATGTTGAAAAGAATGGTTGCCGTTCATTGTGCTCTGTTTTCACAAACTTTCACAAGATGCCCTGGGATGTCCAGTGGTGCTGACGTCTCGGATACTCAAATCTCTGAGCCTTCATCAGCGAGCATCCTTGATGGCTCCTCCACATCACAGCAGATATCTCATGGCACTGATGGCTTGACATGGGAGCTGGTACCTCTCAACTCTATCAACCGTTCTGACAACCAGGAAAGTTTTTTGTTCTGGTGCATTACTATACATAACTAAATGTTTGTCATTGCTTTGTCCACTCCATTTTAAAAAGTGGATTGACAAGAGTACTGGATTTTAAAAAAATGTTCTCCAAATTATATTCTTATTGTGCTATATCATAACATGGAGAAACGCCAGAAATGCATAATACATGTAAGCTAGTTTCTTTCCCATGAAAACCTCACCGAGTCCAATGGCTCTTTATGCGAGAGCCAGGGTACAATGGTACCCCGGGGTACCACCATAAGGTTTATATATGTATTTAGTATTATCCATTAATTTGTGTGGGTTTTCACCAGAATTCTAGTTTGCTCCCAGGAATTGACCAAAAATCTGCACACTTTTAAAGTAGGTAGTTTTCAGAGATATTTTAATTACTAAAATATTATACAAATTCTACTGTATACAGTAGACTTGAGCCGGTGAATTCTGTTCAAAATTACATGGAAAATGTGCCATAATGATTGGTAAGAGTAGACTAACTTAAAATTGTTAAAGGTGAGTCGGTTGGTTTTAAAGTGATTGTTATGTCATTTATAGTCAGCTGTTTGGCAGTAAGATCATTTTACTCTCAATCAGAGATTTACAAGTTCAAATTCTTTACAGGGATCATGTAAATGCATACTTTTTTTCGGTCGAAATTATGACCATTTTGCAGGAAAGTCGAACAGTGGTGTATCCTCTCATGAGACCACCATAGGTATATGACATATCATTGGCTTGGGACCACTGATTATGCTAATTTAATAACCAAAGTATATTTGATGCTTTATGTGAAAACCTGTTTAAAATTTTCAAATATGTCTTTTGATAGTTATATTTCGAAGCTATATATGAATATATTTTTTTCACTACAAATTTAAAGATAGCTTTTTGTCATTGCCAGCTTTCATTGGGATTGTCTCCTGATTTAATTACAACTTACATTCAAACAAATCTAATTGCAGGGGGAGCAAGGCAAAGAAGGCACGCAGATGGACCCATTGCTGAGCTGCGATCAGATGGAGGTGGAGCTGGTGCCACTGGATGTGGAGCTGGTGCCCGTGGAGATCCAGCTCGTTCCTGCAGAGGAGGAGGAGCCGCCAGTAGCCATCGAGCTCGTGCCGGTGGAGGAAGGCTGTGGGACGTTCTCTCAGCCGCCGGGGGATTCCTTCGAGTCTATTGAAACATACACCAAAATGCTGAGCGACAAGGACCCCATGTTCACGGCGGCAAGCACTCCGTACCATCTCAAGTATCACGAGAATCTGCGCGACAGCTTCTCGCTGGCTTCCGCCGAGGGAGAAGGTCAGTTGAAGGCCAACGTTTGCAATGAAGGAGTTTCCTTTCCACTCGGATCAATTGTTCTATTGTTTTAAGATTTACTTTCACAAAGGATGTGAGTGAAATAATCTTCTTAATGAAGCCAAAGATTTGTCTGACCCTGGATAATTTATCTAAACTAGAAGCATAATAATGGTTTTTGGGTTGGATCGCGTTATTTATAAATGTGTCGTAACCCTCCACCACCCGACACGGCCAATCAGCAAAAAAAGTGTCACGTTGACAAAAGACAATTAGTTCACTACTTTAGCCCACCGGTGTGTTGAAGAGTGAATCCACAACATTTACAGTTTGAATACGACGTTTCGCTGGTAATTACCTCCAGCATCATTGGGCAATTCGCCAGAATGGTAAAGCCCTCACTTGCTCCCGGTCTTAAATAGAGCAGCAGGGTGACATCATCATTTAACTCATTCAGGTGCAGTGATTATATATTCGATTGGGAATCAGTCAATGATTATGATTAGTAATGAGTTGTAATGTGTGTTATTGTGAATATATGCTACATTAGTAAAAATACATATTACAATTCCTTATAGGGGAAACACATACTTATTAACGGAATGATATTGTATTATTCAGTTTGGTATGTTTCATTCATTGGTAATGAGAAATGTATTGGTTATTCTGATAACGCTCTGTTGTTCAACCTTGCTGGCACATGATGGAAACTAGTAGGCTTAATCGAATGTATTGCATGACTGTACCTGGATTGTATATCAGTACTTAACAGTGATAACATCAAGTGTAATAATAGGGTTTTCCCCCTTTTTTCTGGCAACAAAACTGAAACCTTTTTACAAGGATTCATGTCTGCATTAACCACAATACCTGCAGTCAAAATGCAAACAAAAAACATACTATGATAATATATGCAGTGTCACTTGGTGGTCCACACCAAGGAACGGCTTTCTTTTGAGCCTCGACCCAATTGGTGTTCGACCAGATGCCTTTTGGCGTCATATATTATCATAGTATGTTTTTTGTTTGCATTTTGACGGCAGGTATTGTGGTTAATGCAGACATGAATCCTTGTAAAAGGTTTCAGTTTTGTTGCCAGAAAAAAGGGGAAAAACCCTATTATATTTTGGTACTGGCAAAGGAGGTCTCATGATGATGAAACATCAAGTGTCTTCAACAAAAAATAGTTGAAGTTTTTCTTAATTGCCCTAAATGTTGGCGATTATGTAAATGCATGGTTTACATATTTTTATTTTCTAACAATTAGAGCTGCAACCATTGACTATTTAATCTTGATTCTGGTGTTGATTAATGAAATAGAAATTAACGTTCAATTACCATATGTTTGCATAAGTGAACAATTTTTCAAACAAGAATCTCAAAGCACTTATCGTATAAAAACTGTAAAACCAACAGAACAAGAACACTCTCATACTCAGAAATACTCCAACATATACTAACAATACACCAGGAAAACATTCATAATTGTAACTATCACTTCAAGAATGACGTGTAACTTAAGCAATCCTATAAAATCAGCTGTAACTCTTAAACCAAGGTAATTACACGATGATGACTTACAAATACCATGAATTATTACTCTGCAGTAATTTTTAAAAATTGGTGTCAATTTCATTTATTGTTTGACATCACCATTTTAAAATGGCTCATGATTAATTGTTTACGTGAAATTGATGTACTTTTAACTTTCGCACCGTACATAGCAACATATTAAACATTTAAATAAAATAACTAGCTGCACTATTTATTCAACCAGCGCTTAGATTTTTTAATGGTTAATGTTTTCCTAAGGGTATCTATTTAACATGTGCAGAATATATAGTAGCTGCTTTATCCACTTAATGTTATTTTGACCCTTTTTCACATGCATTGTCAAGTGAAAATGTAATCTAGTATAAAACAAGCATAGCACAATAGCAATTCAAGGTATTCAGTATTTTTTGATTGAAAATGTGTGTTTTTACAGGGCTGGGACTGGATGATGCCATGGTAGAGAGCCTTTTAAAGGATGGAAGCTTACCGATTATAGAGGATGTAATGGGATCTGAATTCACTAACCTTTCAAATGCAGAAAGACAAAAAACAGGTTTGTATACATTTGAAATGTGTTGCTTGTGTGTGGATATCATAGCCAAAAGTCCTTCCATGTACAAACGAGTGTTGGGTGGTATTCATCTCCGTTGATGACCCTGAACCAGTGGTGGAAATTTCACATAGCTGGGAGATAGTCTCAGCATTTCGTGTACTGTATATCGGTTGGGTAGCATAGTGTTTATAGGTTTCATCTTTAAAGTGAAAGGTGACTAGTTCAGATCTGGTCAGTCAACTTGGCACTCGCTCTGGGATCATTGTCACTTTCTGAGAAGTCAGCAGTAGTTGTTCTTTGAGAGGGTGACCCTCGCCATATGATCGTGTAATTTTCACCACTGGCTCAAGTTGACAAGTAGGAGGTGAGTGTCTCCTATGTTTCCCATGAGCAGGAAACGATTTTATCTCCACAGTATATACGTATCTAAGAAGAAATGAAAATGTTTTGACTGAGATGCCATTTTCTTGATTCTTGAATGTGTTTCCAACACAGGAGCAAGTGGAGGTGGAGCTGAAGAGAGGCCTAAAACAGTGACCAATAGTGCAGAGCACCCACCTGGAGAGAGTGAACAGGAAAGTTTGCGGCGTAAACCAAGGCAAACCCGAAAACAGCAGCAGTTGACAGAGCAAGGTGCCTCCACCAAGTGTGCCAGTGCCTGCACCAATGCAAAACCCTCGGGTGGGAAGGGCAATGATGTGTCAAAAAGCCATTCGTCACACAATGATGATGGGGAGGAATACCCAGAGCATGCAACTCCTAAAACCAGGCAGGTGCGGTCAGGCTCATCGCAGGACGGTGAGCAAAAGTCTGCAGGGAAAAGTTCATTCCTGAAACAGTCTGAAGCTGAATCAGCAAAGAGCAAATTGCTTGCAAAACGCAAAACAACGAGCATTGAGGAGCCACCCCTGTTTGTACCAGACAACCTGCCTCCCGCAGTCAAGAAAGACGGTCCGAAAGATCATAATGCCAAGTCTGGAAATGCTAAAGCGGGCAGGATGAGATCACAGAAGTTTGAAGAAGAGAGCAGCACGGACCTGACTGAAACAATGTCATCAGCCCTTTCTGATGAGAGTGACAGTGAGAATGACCCCAACAAACTTTGGTGCATCTGTCGACAGCCATATAATAACAGGTAAATGCTAAACACATTTGCAGTGTATTTACTTCACAGACCCAGCCCCTCGTGACATTGATTGGTTTCTATATCACATTTTGGAAGATATGAGACTGGAATGTTTCCCTCCCTATCCCAATTACGCTGCACGTAAATGTGCATGATCTACTGCTTATTTAAACTTACAGTAATTCAGCGTTATTTTCTCTAATTGTATTTTAGTGCAGTCATTAATAAAGTTAGTGGATCCATGGTCAAATAAGCAATGGAGAGGTATTCATCTCTGCAGGCTGCCCTGAGCAAGCGGTTGAAATGATAAATTATCACGATGGATGCAAGTTGAGCTCCCGGAAATGGCACTTATTTTTTATCAACCACGGAGAGTTGATGGGCTGAGTAGAATACCGAGCGAGATATTAATTTTCAAACTTCCAAGTGTCTAGCCCTCTCTTGAGCATGGTAAAGAGGACAGTTGAGTATTGATCTCCAAAGTGTAGCTACTCTTAAATGGAGGAAGGATGTAATAAGAAATGGAAGTTGGGAATTATGACTTGATACTAGCAATGTACAAATGTGTCACATGGTTATTTGGATACTTCATTAATAAGTCATTAATTGTGGTTAACCAATCTGGAATGCAATCTAAGAAGAAAAATATGTTTTTTTATAGAAAGTGGCATATCCTTAATAATAAGCATAGGTCCGTATCTAGGAAAGCCTAAACTAAGTTAAGACTTTTTCAGGATTTGGTTGTTCGGTGAATTTCTCTTTATAATATTTTTGTTATTTGTTAAAATTATTCACCCAGAAAATCCCTTGCGATAGAACATATTGTTTGCAAGGGTGTCCAGGGTACCGATTGACACATGTAGCAAATAATTTTAATCTGGAATTTGTGTTTTGTTTGGAGGAAATCTTAGTATTTGGAGAATTCCAGCACATCAAAGGGGATAAAAATCTGGACTGAAGAGTCAAAATTCCACTTACTGTGCTGCCATGTTCTTGCATCCTCACACCCCAACGAATTGAGTCTTAACAGTACGTGATTATATTGGTGTGATTAACCAACCTCGCCTCCAAAGTGTGATGGTTATAGGCATGTGGCACCACGTCCGTTTGTGTGGTGTGTTTGGTGTGCCACTTTCTTAAATTTCCCCAACTTCAAAGCGTTCAAGGTCGACATTTATTTTGTAGCACTTGCAAAGATTTATTACATTGAAAGACTGAGTACAAAAGAAAACTATTTTGGGAATTATTTCTGAGTGTAGGCACCTGTTTTATGGTGGAATGGTACTTGTTTCCGACAGGTTTATGATTTGTTGCGACCGATGTGAGGACTGGTTTCATGGTGATTGCGTTGGAATCACAGTTTCCCGTGGGCGGCAGATGGAACGCAATGGCGAAGATTACATTTGTCCAAACTGCAGCTCCAAAGAAGATGAATCCAAACAAGGTAATTCCTCTTGGTTGCATGGATCATGGGCAAATGCCTGATGTCAAAGTGTCTGCCAGAGGAAATTGCATGGGTCAGTCATCATCCCCTTTGGCAGCCTTGGGCCAGTGGTGTAAATTCCATATTGCTATTGCAGAAGCCAGACTGTTTAGAGGACGACCAGTGTTGACCTTCCACAAAATGGTACTCATTGTGTCAGCTCAATTGTGATGTTGAGTGAACCCAGCACAAATGTTAATTCACCTTCCAACTTTGAGTCGAGCAATAATATATTATAGTCTGGTATCCAGAAACACCTCAATCACATGTTTTCCTCGACTGGTGACAAATGTACTTTCCATAATGTCCTTCGCATGTTCAGCTCTCCATACTAAATGATGAACGTACCACTGCTTTTTCATGCGTTAAAAAAAAAAATCCTTAACCAAGAAAGGCTCATTTATTCTTAAGCACTCCCAGGGAGATCCTGCATTTGGATATTTGGGCAATCAATAAGTATGGTTCGAGTGGCATGAAAACACAGTATGTGATTAACATCCACACGTAATAGAAGGGGGAGAATACTCAATGTTAGGCATTGAGTATTATCTCCCTGCTGCCCTTCTGTCTTCGTGCTACCTCACAATACTCGGTGATCTGTGATCCACTCAACCTACTTAAAAGCACTTGATTACAGGCGTGTATGTTCATTTCGCTTTTACAATGCGAGAGAAAACAAGTCCATACGATTATTTTGTTTTAGAATCGTTCAAATTTACGTGGTTATACATTTTTAGCACAGTTTATATGATTAAAAAAATATATATTTTAAATGTAAGTGTTTAATACAATGTCATACATTTAATTTAAGCCGATTTTATACTTTTTCAGTTTTAGTTTACGTCTTCAAAAACATAGCTACTCTATTTAAAAAAAACTAGATTTTTTGTTTATGTTAATTATTTTTTTTATGCACCAAATTTGTCCCCTGTTTGCTTGCTGTTGTATTTCCTCCAGGTCTCCCTTGCAAAAGCGACATGTTGTCCCAGTGGCCTCTCACCCAATTATAAATACAGGAAATAAACTGAGTCACAGTTTTCGTAAAGCGCACATGATAAATTATAATGAAACGTGAAATGTAACAAAAGTGCGTTCATAAGTATAGCATCATTCAGTGATGCAGGAATTTGCTCACCTACCAGGTCACACATGTGACTACAAAAGCAAAAGAAGCTTTAAGTGCAAAATGATTTAGTTATTAATATAGTAAAAAAACCTGGTATAAGTGCCGGGTTTGGTGTTGCACACCTGTAATCATGTGACTTGGAGGTCGGGTTGATGGATCATACGTGGATGAGCCATGATTTGCGTGAGACTCCCACCTGCTGGTAAGTGAGGTGGCTGTAGGAGCCAGTATGGCAAGCGGCTTTTAGATTATTTTGGGGATTTTAACGTTCACCGCTCATGCCTTTGGTTTCTCTGGGCTGTCTATTTTATGACTACAAGATAAAACATTCAGAAAGGAACGGTTCTACCCTCCCAAGTAGGACCGTGCTGAAACAGTCTTGAAGACTCAATGAGGCTTCACTGGGTAACTGTAAGATTGTGGTTGCGGTAAGTTAGTCATTCTGAACTCGTGCCTATTATTGTTTCCAGTTAATTGATTGTGCATCGTAAAGTGACATGTAGTTTCTTATAAAAATAGCAGCAGTCGGTCAATAGCTGGAAACAATGTGGCACGAGGTTATTGTCTCTGCGGCACTTTGTTCTCAGCCGGCGGGGCTGATCAGGACGTGCAACTTGGAGCGAAAGCTGAGAGCAGCACCACCTTGTCCGAGGCAGATGCCGGGGCCATGCCAGGGAAAGGGACGCCTGCCCAAGCGGCCTTGCATGGCATGAGCGACGGACCCATGCCAACAAACATACAGCAAGGCAACATCAAGGGCAAGATCGAGAAAGCGAAGATTGTGTCTGACATCACAAAGAAGAAGAGGATATTAAACAGGGTAACTGCACAGTCATCCGACCATATGGTGCTGTGGTAAGAGCATGTGACCTGCAAATGGAAGGCTACAAGTCATTATCCTGGTCGGGGATTGACTCGGCCCATCATCACTTGAGGGTTAATTAGCCGAGTACAATTTATTTGAGAAGGCAGCAGTGGTGCCACCCTGTGGAGAGACTGGCTCACACTGTGAGAATGAGTGTTCCACCACTGGCGCAGGGCTGCCGAAAGAGATCATTGCTGCCCAGTTGATTGATTGAGCATAGATACACTTTAACTTTGTGGAAATTACTTTTGATCATTGAATTTGGCAGTCACTTAAGTGTGAGCTGAAAATATAGTATGCATTGCAAGGTAAAGGAAACGTGTTAGCTGTGGGGCGACAAAGGTGGCTGGGTGTGGTGTTTGTGCTGGTGTTCAAAGGTTTTTACTAACAGCAGTTACCCCTATAGCCTTGAAGGCTAATTGATGGTATTTGTCTTGTGCAGTGTGCTGGTACGGGGTGCACAAAGATGGCAGCTCCAGGCTCTGTGTACTGCAGCAATGACTGCATCCTGCGACATGCAGCTCACACCATGCAGACCCTCCAGAAAGGACAAGCCAAACCTGCACCTCTACCCAGCATCACAAGAGATTCCAGCTTATCTGTGGTCAGTATACTTTAAAAAATTGAAAATTTGAATAGTTGTAAACTGCGGGAGATGCAAGCAGAGGTCTAGGTTTTATAGATTAATAATCTACATTTAATCTTCTGTTTTTAATGTTATTTTATAAATAATTATTATCTATAAAGACAAATGCAAATATTTAAAGATCTTGATAAAATAACTTCATTGGTATATTAATATGAAAAAAAAATGTTTCATGAAGCTGACCCCTGATATACACGGTGAAAATATTTTGTATTCATGTCAAATTCTATCCACAGTTCTAGTCTAAAAATAAGCAAATTATTTGTTTTGCATAGCATTGTTCATGCACATTGCATCTCACAATCGCTGAGGAACCACAGAAAAGCTGAAAGGCTGCCAGGCGGTGAGCTACCATGAACAATTGCTCTGCAGTGTGGTTGTTTATACACGTGGGAGGAAACCAGAGGACCCAGAAAAAGCCCACACATGTGAGGGAGCAACAATTTGTCCCATACAGAAATAGCATGATATCACGCCACACTTTGCTATACTGCGTTCTGCTGGCAAGCGAGGGTATTGCCCCGTCGATGTCCATGGGAATGAAGTTGCTCAACATTTGCCTGGTCCACCATCCCTCGCTTCCACAGCGCTGGATTAAAGGCGTGCACCGCCACCACCCGACTTCATCTCAAATCTAAAAGTATAAGCATCAAACACCCGCAGGGGGCAAATCATCTGCAGCCTTTGCTTGTTTTCCCTGAAGTCTTTCGCATACTAATTTTTACCAAAATTACCTTGTAGCGCACGTCTGGCTCCACATCCCCTCAGATGGGGTGGCCAGTGGAGCTGTAACGTGGGCCACCATACTAGTCATTAGACTGTGAAGGAAAGTGAACTTAGGTGGCAAATTATATGTTTTGGATATTTGGTGGTGTAGGACCCACTGCGACACCCTCCGATTGCCAGTCCAGTTGTGGCAACGCGTCTCAAGGTCAAAGCCCCTGTTTTGAGGTGTTCATCACCTTCCTCTATGGCCACCGCTGGGCATGGTGACTGATGCATACCTGTAATCAAACAGGTTGAAGACGAGGGTTGGTGGATTTTTCTGATTTGTGAAACTCTCATACCTCTACTGCATTTTGAGGTGGCCATAAAATGGCATGAAAGGAAATGGCTTCTTTACATCCATATATGTAAACGTTTGAGTGTTGTCTTCTCATACGTGTGGGCTTTCTACGGGAATTCCTTCCACATGCAAAACACTATTTGACGTGAATATGGCTAAACATGGCTATGCTCGACTTTCCTCAAAATGAGCGTAAAGCTCAGGTGTTCCTATTTATTGCGCGTGGCAGTAACATTTAACACGTGCCTAAGTCCTGGACAATGCACTTTATCATCACCATGAGTTTCTGTACTGTAGTTGAATTTAGGTCCTAATTTGTTTTGTGCTTAACAGCAGCCTTCTGGCACACGGCTCGATGCCAACCCTGCTTTGCGGAGGAACTCAAGCGATAAGCCTGTGGTGGTGTTTGAGCGCAGCAATAGGGTGGTGCTTATCAAGGCCAATGTGATCCATGTGCCTAAGCCTGGAAGCCTTGTAAAGCAGCCACAGCCTGCAACCAATGCTCAGCTGGGATCAAAAGCCAACATCCCCTCGTCAACATTTTACAATACAGGTAACGTCTACACACTAGAGTGATTCATAATGAATGTTTTTGGGTTAGATAGCGTTATTTATAATTGTGTCGTAACCCTCCACCACCCGACACGGCCAATCGGCAAAAAATGAGTGTCATGTTGACAAAAGACAATTAGTTCACTACTTTAGCCCATCGGTGTGTTGAAGAGTGAATCCACAACATTTACAGTTTGAATACGACGTTTCGCTAGTAATTACATCCAGCATCACCGGGCAATTCGCCAGAATGGTAAAGTCCTCACTTGCTCCCAGTCTTAAATAGAGCAGCAGGGTGACGTCATCATTTAACTTATTCAGGTGCAGTGATTTGAGGCGGAGGGGGGGAGTTATTGTAATTATGAATAATACTAGTCACGAAAGCCTACGTGTTAAACACGAGCATGAACAGGCATGTGTTTGTAACGGTTTTTTTTGTAGAGGTGGTCTGATTAACCGTCAAGGCCAAGCTCATTGCATTTTTAACAGGACCAACTAAAATACTTTGTATACAATTCTGAACATTTGGCAGGAGCCACTGAAGTAGTAGCCCTGAGCCAGTGCTGAAGATTTCACATTGCTTGAATAAGGGACCAGTGTAAATCACAATCACTGTTGATTTTTCAACAAATGGTACTTACCAATTGGTACCAATTTTACTGACCTTGGAGTAATATAACACACATCTCCAATTAGTTTATTTTTTAATTATTTGGCATGCGTTGTTGTTCCAAAACAATAATTTGCCTATTGCTGTCAGACTGATACATGTTAGCCTTCTGAGCAGAGATAGCATAAACTGCCCGAGTACCATTTAGCATGCAACCAGACTTAGAACCATCGTGAGCTGGGGCTGTCTCACGATTGCAAATCCCTGTCATTTCCAAATACTTGGTTTTGTTGGTTCAGGCTGTTGAGTTTGATGGTAAAACTAAGTAGTCAAATGCTATGCTGAATTTGCAATCCTAAAATATACACTCACCAAGCTATTTCCTATTGTTTCAACAACAATCAAGTTATACAATGCTATTAACAACGTGAGCTTAGAATAGCGGTCGTTAAACTGATTACAAGACATACAAGCACCAGACATTTTATATTTCTAGCAAGAGACAAATGTGTCCTGGCATGGTCTGGTGGAGTGATACAACACTGTAAGGCGAACTGTGTACAGCCCATGGGTCATATTTTGTTGGACTTGTAACTCGTTGGTAGTATCTTGTAGGTTACTTGTTAGATAAAATAACTGATTCAAACTTTCTATCCCCTTCTCTCACAGCAGCTTCCTTCACATTTTTACAGCATTTTTTTTTATGAAGCATGGCGATAGGATCTTTGAACAAGATTATCCTTTTAAATGTATCATTGCAACCTTTCCTACTCCATAAGCTATTTAAATTGTTGTATTATCGAGTAAGCATGTGATTTGTGTCAGTGCTGGAAACGCATGGTTGTAGGAAGTGTTAGTGAAACACTTAGATATTATCATGTGTTATGACAAACACAGTCTCTCTGGGCTGCAAGGTGGCTAAGTCATGCTAGTAGAGTAAATGTGTTTGTGTGGTCTGTGCAGACTTTTACGCGCTATCTCCTTTTGAGGCTTTGTCTTCTCTCAGTACAATCGGTTTCCCCCGGCATGTAAAACACTTCGCAATAATCATGAGCCAAAGATTTAAATGTGGGTTCTTCCTCAAAAAACGTTCGGGTCTCAGTGAGGCTCCCTTAAATGATGAGGATATATCTGAATAAATTTTAATCTTCAAATTTTCAGGGACGCCTAATCGGTAAATATTGTTGTTTATAGCACTGCTCTCAATGCAATATTTTATTTTGTTTTTCAGTCAATAAGCAAAAAACAGATTCCACCATAAACAACAAAAAAGACACGGTGACCAAAGATAAGAAGCCAGAGTTAAAGAGAAAATCAGAAACACCCACACCTGCTCCCAATGACAAGCTCATCCGGAGCAATGTGCGCCGTTCACTCGGAGACATCTTTGCAAAAAGGTAAAACAAGAACAATTGCTTTATTTTGTGTAGGGTTCTTATGGGCGCTATAGCCATCACAATTTATATGGGCCCATCACGATGAAACATTCTCCTCATCCATTGCTTTGGGGGTGTGTGCTACACATCCTGAGCTGTGATAACCCCAAGCCTTCATGGATATGAGGTGGCCACTAGATGGCAGTAAATTAAGTAGGTCAATGACATTTGTCTTAATTTCAGTGTCCTATTTTTTGGGTTTCATCCTGATACTCTTTTTTCGCACAGATGTTAAACTATTTATAGTGCAAGTTTACCAAATGTCTCAAACATGATCTTTCTAAAATTATTTTGGGATTCAATAACATCAAACAGTTTTCCCATTCATATGATCATGGGTTGAGGTTCAGAACCAGTAGTGGAAACTCCACATTTCTATGGTAGGGGATTGTCAATTCATATAAAAAAATATATCAACATGTTAGATAGTGACGAGTCTGCACCTATTGAGATCTGCAGACAGTTTGAATTTGTGCATACATTTGTATTTTTGAGCATGGACTTTAAACAGTACAAAATGAGGGCCTGGGATTAGTACAGCACCAAATGTTGTGTAAACCACTTAACGTGTCCTGAATGTGTGTCCAACATTACATATTTATATTCTTGGTTCTTTCGGTAAAGTCACGTAAATAGAAAATAAAAATGATAAAATACAAATTTAAAATAAAAATAATAAATTTAAAATAATAAAAGCAATATTTAATTTAATTAGTTTTATTATTTTCTATCTATGTGACTTTACCGATAGAACCAAGAATATGAATTCCTGCAGTCACGAAAGTTTTAAGTCAATTACATATTTACTATTTACAAGGCATGTAGCAATGCTTCGACTCATTAATTAAAATCTATTCCCGTGCTCAACATACACGCATTGAATCAATCATTTGATAATCAATTTACAATTCATGCACATTATTAGCCATGGGGTAAGTACATTGTACAAATTATATAGACACAAGAGAAACAATGCAAATAAGTACAAAAAACTTGCCAGAATTTATTGATTCTTGAGTTGATTAGTGTCCCAAATTTTGTTATTTCTTTGATTTATTATCTGCCGAATATTTACCAAAACTTAAGCACAGCACAGTTGTCTTAACACCCACTAGCCCACCCCCTCCTTCTGATCGATTGTGGTGTGCAGCATGACACCACCTTTGCCTCACCTTCCTCACTGACCCTCACTGCATTTCACCTCCCACTGTCTCCTTCTGCTATTGACATTTGCCATTCCAGGAAAATCTATTCCAGCTTCAGTAGCACACAGCCAGTGCCTGTGTTGGTTTTTAAACACTTCAGATGTGTTGCCCTGCTGTAATGTCACTTGTGTGTCCATAAAAGGGTTTACCGATCGTACAGTTTCATTTTCGAGAGAGTCGTGCATTGGTATGTTTGGCCAGTTCCTTTGAAACATTGTTTCACATTTCAGAGGGACCCCGAGCACCAAGAAAAAAAAAAAATGTATGTAACATGGTAACGCTGAAAGGTCCACACAAATGGGTTCATAAATCCTTTCACCCACCTTGCATCCCAGTTGTCTTGGGGAGTGATCAATCCCTTGTCTCTCAGATTGATTATTAATCAATTGTTTATTAACCCTGAAGGGGTGCTGGACTAAACTGCCTCTGAGTGAGCCTTGAATGATTGTGAGTTTTTCTCACTAACCACAGCATCATCTGGGCTAGTCAGTATTATCACCTCTGCTTTTTTAACTAGGATGAAAGACTCAAAGAGTCTGAAAATTTCAGAAGATGAAGCTTTAAAAGTGGCGGATGAAATTGAGAAGGAGCTGTATGCCCAGTTTCAAGATACAGACAGTAAATATAAGAACAAGTATAGGAGTCTCATGTTTAACCTGAAGGACGCACGGAATCACGTATGTTTACGCATGCATCATCATGAACACCGTACCTGTCTATTTTTGCAGAGCCCACAATATGTTAATGTGCCACGAGCTTTGTGTTAAAACGTTTGTATTAATCTACATTTTGACAAGGCTTTGTTTTAGTAGTGATATAACCTAGGAGCAGTGTAGAATAAGCTGATGCGCCTGCGTTCACACTTATACAAATTAATTGAATTGCTTGCAATGAGAATGTATACTGTAATTGAAATTTTACAAAGGCAAAGTTGAAGAGTAACCTCTTCCGAAAAACTTAACTCCCACAAAAAGTAAAAACCTAGTCTCATCAGCTTTCACCTTTGACGCCTCCTCCCCAGGGCTGAACGATTAATCAATTTCAAATCGAAATTGCAATTTGAAACAATGCGATTAGTAAATCGCAAAGGCTGCGATTTTTTGCTATTTGAAAAGTCCTATTACTTTCCTATTGCAACTTTTATTATTTATTATTCTAACTTTAACGTAATTGTTCTATTTCAATTAAATGTTTTTATAAATACATGTTGGAAGCAATTCATATCTTCTTGCATTAGAATATATAGAGCAGTTAATATTTTGATGGTATAATGTGGTAATGCTCCATCACATGTTTTAAATCTATTACACAGTGAATATTGAACTGAAGCTTCACTTACATTTTTTTATCGCAAATCAAATCGCAGTCGCAATATCTGTTAGAAAAATTGCAATTAGATATTTTCCCCAAATCGTTCAGCCCTATTCCTCCCCCTGCCTGCCTCGATCCCACCCCCCCACCCTGCTGATTACAAAACAAACATAGCGTGAACTCTGCTAATTGTCATTATGCTGCTTAATTGAGACTTGGGCAGTACTCAACCGTATTAGTGATACCAAGTCTGTGGTGGACGTTTATAATTCTAAGGGTTGGAACAGATCTCTCTAGGATAACATTCCATAAAGTTGTACTCATGCTATTAATCATAGGGGTAATGATCGGCTGACCTAACACCCAGTTGGGTTTGTACTCGCATCCTTGTGATTGTGAGTCATAATTCAGCAGGAGTCTTAACATGGAAACAGCATGTTGTTGTGTACAGAATAACTTGTTATTCTCTTGAATACTTTTTTGTCCTTAAGTTTTGATTTCCTCAAGGGTTAGTTTTTAAGTTATAATATTTACAGATATTAATTTGAGTTGAGAATAAATATTGGAGGATAATTATTTGATGGAAATTGTGCGCAGAATGTTAATATTGTGTAAATTTTTGTAGGGCTTGTTCCGTCGTGTTTTAAAGCGTGAGATCCCACCACACAAGCTGGTTAGAATGAGCCCTGAGGAGCTGGCTTCCAAGGAACTGGCTGAGTGGCGTGAAAGAGAGAACAAACATGTAAGTCTATTCCATGATCAACCTTCAAAATGCTCTTTTGTGAACTTTTCACGTTGACGGCTACATTGCTGAAGCCACTTTGAAAGCAATAGGCATTCACTGAAATGTACCAATCTCAGACGCTTTGGTTCTTTCGGTAAAGTCACGTAGGTATAAAATAAAATAAATCACGACGTTTCGGGCGCAACACAAGCGTCCATCATCTGGTGGGAAAGCATGGTCTGCAGTCTGCCTCAGGTGGGAAAGCATGGTCTGCAATCTGCCTCAGCAGCAGACCACGCTTTCCCACCCGATGATGGATGCTTGTGTTGCGCCCGAAACGTCGTGATTTATTTTATACCTACGTGACTTTACCGAAAGAACCGAAGAGTATGGATTCCTGCAGTCACGAAAGCTTCCAATTAAGATTGTACTAATCTCAAGTTTAATTGAGCGACTTCAACTGTTTGCCTTGAAAACTCACGTTAAATAGGTGTATGTAATTTACTTCATTGAGACATATATGCTTGAACTTAAAACTTGATATTTGGGCATCAGGAGAGTTTTGGTATGCTGCTTCTATTTCTTTCTCCGCGATGACATAGGGCAAATAATCTAACATTGTGTCCCCAGTTTAAGTCATAATGTAATTTTCAGTCATTTGCTAATTTGCTGGATCAAGACCTCCCCTACTCGATCTTGATTGTGGGGTTTGATTGACCAAACTTCATATTGCTCATTGTGGGTCGGTGAAGGGAGTCCAAGACATTCACTAGCGATGTTAGTAGTAGTCAGGAATGGAACAGTGCACAAACCACTGTCATCACACCAATCAATTCATCTGGTATACTAGTGGGATGGGTGCTATTAAACAGTGTTATAATAAAGGTATTCTTGGGATACACATTAAATATGAAGAGTACTTAATACTAAGCTTCAGATTTTTATTTTTTCATGCATATTTAGCTAAGCAGCGCTGTTTCAAGTACATCCACAACCCAAGACCTTCAGTAGTCATGTCAGCTACAGGACATTGCAGTGAGGGAATATACAATAGAAAAACTTAAATATTCATCAACATACGATAAATAATTCATGCTTAAATACAAATAAAATATTAAGTAAAAAATCATATCACACGTATGCAAATAATCCATATATGGAGCATCAGACATAATGTAGCATATTAGCATTTTGAATGTTGGCAGAGGTAATTCAGTAGTATGGCCTTAAAGCACAGCTAGAGAAGGTAAATTAGGAATATTAAGATTGTTAATGAAAAAATTCCAAGGATTAAGTTGGCCCTCTCAGTTGGGATTTAAACTTATAACCTTGCGATTGTGAGTTGTATCTTCTAAACAAACCACCCAAAATAGGTAACACATTCATCAGGACTAATAAGTAAAGTCAATAAGAATTGATCATGTTAAACCTGACTACATTACTACATGATAGATTGTGATATTACACACCCGATCATAAACAGACTTCCTTAATTTCGTTGATAAAGTGACAGTAACCATTATTGCATAACAATAACATTTTAAAAATTATTCCATACATGAGTTGGTGTTAATGGTTCCTTATGAAAGTGAAGGCTGGAAACCCATGAACGATTTTGCATACCTTGTGTTAAGCTGAGGACACATTAACGAAATGTGAAATATTGCTTATAGGAGAGCATCTCGAACCTTGTATGCCTTTATGGAACGTTTGTTGACGAGTAATATGAGCAGGTCTTGTATATGTCTTTTGCAGAGGGTGTTTTTTGATGGGCTGTAGTCTTCTTTGTGGCTTTTGGTTTTTTGGCTTCATGCTGAAAGAGGCGCTGCTCTTTGTGCACACGATATCCATTACAAACACAGTAAAGGTAACTTGGTGGCTTTAGGGTAGTGTGCTCATCTTTTGCAGTGCAACATTTGCTGGTTTGAACCCTCCAGCAGTGTTTTGTTGCAGGCAAATAATCGAAAATCATTCCGTCCTTTACAGTATACATGAAGCACGCAGTTGTGTTTGCTTGCTTGTGGGCAGTGTACATCCATGCATTACATTTCACAAGGAAAAGGCTACTTTCGTAGACAAAACAACCACCCTTTGGACTGTGATGGATAAACACTCCTGGCTGAAACGTAACACAAGCTCGTAAAAAAAACCGATGCTATGTAGCTGAGTGACATTGCTCTGTTTACAATTAGTGAAATAATCCCTTGATTTGAAATATCCCACGGAGTTGCATGAGGGATAAACTTAGTCATAGTTTTTTACTTGAATTAATTTCACCTCAATCTATGTGGGCAACTACATCAAACTGATGAATAATCGTCAGAAACATACACATTTTCCAAAATAATATCTCTCTCAAGTTTTAGCCGATGGTGATGGAGGCTTGTGTGTTTGTGTGAAGAGCGGTGACAGTGGTTTGCATGCTGCTCAGCAACCGGTGACATTGCGTTATGTTCCTAAAGATACACGTGAGAAGCAAATTGTCTCTGGACCTGTCCTGGGCCTTGCATAGTTTGACAGAGCTATAAATTAGTACCGAGGGTGATTTTTGAATGCTACTCCGAGGGAATCAAGGAAAATGGCTGTGGTGTTGGTCGCACTTCCGTTGTGTGCCCTGACGATTTTGGGCAGTCACCAGCATTAATTGTCTCAACTAGCTGTAAGCCTTCAGCAGGGTGGCATTGACTTTTCCAATTCAAAAGGTAATTTGGGTAATGCGATATATGCAATTTTTATTGCAAAAGTAGAAGTTAAGTGTGACTATATCAACAGTACAGTTGTTCTTAATGTAAGCATTGGAAATTTGCAAAGGATTTGGAACTAGAAGCTTAGTGGTAAGCATTATTTTTACATAAATCATGTGTTTTTTTCTTGTTGTGTGTATGCAGACACTAGAAATGATTGAAAAGGAGCAAAGAGAAATCGAGAGAAGACCAATTACCAAGATAACTCACAAGGGAGAAATTGAAATAGAGGAATCTACTCTGCAAACTGCTGTTGAGGTCATTCTCAATATCCCACAAGCATAGGTGTAATTTATATAAACTTAGGATTTGCATTTAAATTTATTCCTTATTTAAATAAGTGTAGTGCTATGTTAGTGTTTTAATTAACAGTAAAGGTAGCCTTCATACGGAATATAATTGATTAAGTACATTTAGCTATGGTGGTGATTGAATACATTTAAATGACCCTTAAAAATGTGCCGATTGAATAACAGCAAAACAAAGTGGCTTATATTCTTAGCTCTTTCGGTAAAGTCACGTTGAAGGGAAACAATAAAATAATAAAATATATATAAAAGAATAAAAATTCTCACGACGTTTCGACCATAACACAAACGGTCGTCATCAGGTTTGCATAAATTTATTTTTAAACGGTGTATTTATTTATAAAAAAACGTCAGCACCACGCGCAGCGATTTGGCAGTTTATTTAGAAGGACTAATCCATCTATGTTCTGAAAAGAGGAGGGGGGAGACGAAAAAATAATGTATGCTGTCTGAAAGCCACTGTAAGCGTGAACAATCAATTAAGACCTGAAATGGTTAATCAAATCTTTCCAATGATTGCTAAGCCAGAATCCATCTTCTCAGTTGAAATTGTCTCTGTGCTTGTATATGTGGATAGCCTCATGAACGAATCTCTCATGGTAGCTAGATGGCTTACAAAGAACCTCTGTCTTGGAAAAGTCAATGTCATGTGAGCCTACTGAATTATAACAATGATCTGCCACGGCCGAGGTGTTGGTTCTACCGTGTTTAAGGTCTGCTTTGTGTTCACGAATGCGGTCCGAGACATGGCGTTTGGTTTCTCCAATGTAACTGTTACCACAGAGGCAACTTAGTTTGTAGACACCAGGGTACTGTATGTCCGGAATCACATCTTTTACAGATGGAACCAGATCACGGATTTTATGTGATGTGTTGAAACGGACCTGGATCTTGTGTTTATTCAAGATTTTGGAGATCTGTTTTTGTGATCCCTGCAATGTAGGGTAAAGTGATGGTTTTGAAAGGCTCCTCAAGAGGGTCCTTCTTCATGGTTTGAGTGATAGCTTTGCGGATTGTATAGTCGGAGTAACCATTAGCCTTAAGAACTTGGTGTACGTGCTTGAGTTGACTGCCTATGTGTTCCTGGTCGGATATGCATTGGGCTCTATGATACAGAGTCTTGATGAGAGAGTTCTTCTGTGATGGATGTTGTCTACAAACTAAGTTGCCTCTGTGGTAGTAGTTACATTGGAGAAACCAAACACCATGTCTCGGACCGTATTCGTGAACACAAAGCAGACCTTAAACACGGTAGGACCAACACCTCGGCCGTGGCAGATCATTGTTATAATTCAGTAGGCTGACATGACATTGACTTTTCCAAGACAGAGGTTCTTTGTAAGCCATCTGGCTACCATGAGAGATTCGTTCATGAGGCTATCCACATATACAAGCACAGAGACAATTTCAACCGAGAAGATGGATTCTGGCTTAGCAATCATTGGAAATATTTGATTAACCATTTCAGGTCTTAATTGATTGTTCACGCTTACAGTGGCTTTCAGACAGCATATATTAATTTTTCATCTCTCCCCTCCTCTTTTCAGAACATAGATGGACTAGTCCTTCTAAATAAACTACCAAATCGCTGCGCGTGGCGCTGACGTTTTTTTATAAATAAATAAATACACCGTTGAAAAATAAATATTTATGCAAACCGACACACCTGATGACGACCGTTTGTGTTATGGTCGAAACGTCGTGAGAATTTTTATTGTTTTATATATTTTATTATTTTATTGTTTCCCTTCAACGTGACTTTACCAAAAGAGCTAAGCATATGAATTACTGCAGTCACGAAAGCTTTAAATCAAAGTGACTTATACATTGACTTTATATTGCAGGAGTCTACTGACAGCGAATCCATACTGACTGAAGAAACTGAAACAAAAGTGCATGTTGATACCACTGAGCAGCATAAACTTCACCTTTTTGACCTTAATTGTAAAATATGCACAGGTAAGTTCTCAGTGTATTTGTGGTTTACATGTGACCTCCAAAATGTTTCATTCATATTTGTATACCCTCATGTATCTAGATTGTGCTATCGGCATCATGTCATGAGATGTAAAATCCAATTGGATATCTGCAGAGCAATGCAACCCTTTGTGTCAAAGAAACAGACCATTGAAGTGGATATCACAGAGCTACTTCTGGTCCACACATAGTGGAGGTCAGCATTTCTCACTTGCTCAGCAGATGAGTGATATCTGTTGCGTGACATTCCAATCATTTTTTGTATAATTATCAGTCCTGGAATTTAGGCAAATTAAGGGCGGAACCAATGTTAATGTGATGGGTTTATTGTGCAGCCTTAGATGACGGGACTAAGAATATCAGCTCCCTATACTAAATCAATTTTAATCACAAGCGCCTGCCTAGATTTGAACCCAGGGTCTCAACGGTGCAAGCTCAGCACCCTGGCCTTTGAGCCACCCGGCCACCTCATGAAACCATGATTAATCGTCACAATGTATATTTGTAAAATAACATACATTTAAATTGTATGTTAAGACACAATTTAAGTATGTTGGTGTGTGACGGTGATCACATTGTGTAAATATATATTTGAATCATTTGTAAAAATTAAAGTACAGCGTTATAGATACACTGTCTGTAGCATTACAGTTTCTTATATAAGTTAGGCCACTTGGAATGGTTTCACACACCAAATATGGTGCATGCTTAGGCCCTGAAGTGGGTGTTTGTCACTTGACAATCAGACGAAATGTTCTAAGTTATGAAGTTAATCTAAAAAAACGTATACAATGATGGGCTTTTTTAGTGTGCTGTCAACCGATGCCCAGTTTGAGACCATCAGCACACAGCACTTAAGAATATAGTTTAACCATGTGTGGCTGCCTGGATTCAAATAAAAATTCACAGCTTTGTTTACTTAGCATTTGCACATGAACATTCAGCTAAATTTACAGTGATATTCTTAAGGAGGGTTGGTGAAGTAAAACGGGAAGTAATACAACTGAACAGATTTTAACCTGAGATGTCTGAAAACTATAAACATTAAAGTTGGAAGTACATAAATGTACGAAGTAAATTTAAAGAAAAGTAAACCATAAGTACAGTAATTGGAATGTCTATCCTTCCCTTCTACAGGTAAAGTAGCACCGCCTGTTGAGGAACCGTCAGCCAAAAAGGTGAAAGTCGCCACATCTGTTATACTGGCAACTAAGAAAGCTGCTGCAGAGTTTGAATCAGCTGCTGTGACTGCACCTGGTCCATCTAAAGCAGATGCTGGAACCGCCAAGTCAGCAGTTAGTGTGTCTGCTTCATCAAGCGTGAATGCTAACCTGGAGGAACAGCAAACCAAGTCCCCAGTGTCTGTTCTAGCTGTCAGGTACATTGCATGGGAGCACGATTACAACAGGCGTATATGTACCTGAAAAACACACGACATATGCTCATTGTGAATAAATTAAGAGCCGTTGTAGAGCCGCTGGATTATATTTGCGTTTAAAAATGTGTACATTTGATAGGTCGGCAGAGCAGTCGGCAGGTGATTGCAGGGCCTATTCCTTCTTGGATGACATCTGGAAGGGCTTTGTCAACATGCAGAATGTGGCCAAGTTTGCCACAAAGGTGTTTGCAGTGTCCGGATCTTGTGACCACATGGCAGAGGTAACTGTCGGGCTCATGTATGGAAACAAAAACCATTAAAATACGATATGTGAAATGCATTTGCTTTTGTCTATATCATATCAAATATTGTTACAGCAATGAAGCCATTTTAATTCTGGTAAGGATTCTTATTTACATAATATATATTTTTAGGACCTTCCGGACACAATTGAAGTTGGTGGCAGGATAGCCCCAAAGGTCGTCTGGGATTACCTTGAAAAAGTAAAGGCTACAGTGACTAAGGTAATCCATTTTCATGATTTATTTTTCAAGTCAAAAGGCAAAGTATCTCCCCATGCTTATAAAAACAATAAATTGGACAGTGATAATCTCCTTGTGTGACCACAATCCCAAATTTCCATGACTGGGCTTGATTTCTCCGTAGCATGCCCACTGTTGACTTCCCATCTATATGTTGCCTTTTTACCCAGAGGAATCGTGGGCTAATTCAATTGCAAGAGAAACGCTGCCCCAGAGTGCTTATCATGCTTCATATCTACATGGAAAACACTGCGGGTGTTTTAACCGTTAAATAGACGTCTGCTTCACCGTGGATGTTAAAGATCCAAATAAGTCATTCTAACAAGTGTATACCATGAAACATACTTGCAAATTATTTAATGGATAAAGCCACACGTGCAACATCACCCCTCTTGGCGGTCTGCCAAGAGGGGTGTGTTTCAAGAATGGTGGGAATACCAAATGCAATCAATTATTAAATGCCCAACATAAGGCAAACTTTCAATGAAGTAAAGACGTGGCTAAAGTTGAAACCATTAAAACATTTAATCTTACAAGAGAGATGCCAGATTAATTGGTCGTCATAATAGAAAATATTTCCATAGTAGGCACATTCCTGTAACGTACTGTTTTCATGGTAAGGGTTTATCGATCACAGATTTGTGTTGGTTGCCAAAAACCCCTGGGCTGTAAAATTACCAGGATATGGGGGACTTTTTGGTTATTATCTCCCCTTGCATGGATTATCTCTAGATGCTTCATTTTCTGACAAGTAAAAACATTCCTTAAATCCCTACCCATTACAGGACTCCTCTGAGAACGAATATTTAGATTTGAGACTCTTGAGTAAACACATTCCTGCGGAGGGAGCTGGTAGGAACGTTGGGTTGCTCGGTCAATGGCGGCACCACGTGGTGTATTCCGCAAATATGCCCGACTGTGAGGGCGGGCACAAGCCGGCGTGAGTAGGTTAAACGTTGAGTTTTATAAGGGCACCACGGGGTGACCAGCCCCTCCCCACCCAGCCCCACCCTTCCCACCCAGCCCCTCCCCACCCTCCCCTCTCCACCCAGCCCCACCCCTCCCATTTTATCCGGGTGTTCGGATACACATGGACAGACATCCACAGACATACACAATCCCCTGCCTCCTGTGATAATCCCGTTTGGTCTTCCAGTCCACTACGTTTCCTACCAGCAATGCCCACTAGGAGTGCATTTGTTATATATCCGGGTGTCCGGATACACGTGGACAGACATCCACAGACACACAATTCATCCCCTGCCTCCTGTAAGAATTAATCCCGGTTGAGCTTCCAGTCCACTGCGTTTCCTACCAGTAATGCCCACTAGGAGCGCATTTGTTATATATCCGGGTGTCCGGATACACGTGGACAGACATCCACAGACATACACAAGTAATCCCCTGCCTCCTGTGAATTAATCCCGGTTGGGCTTCCAGTCCACTACGTTTCCTACCAGTAATATAGGACATTACGATACTACATCAGAAATGTTGTGCTTCCAATACAGCTTTTAGTTTTTAAAACATTATTTCTATTACTGATGAAATATCGGGCAACATTCATATGAACCTTGCTTGACCTTTGCTCCGCAGACTCAGGTTTGCATTCTATTATAGCCTCATTCCACCATTTGCTGTTTGAGCTCTAATTATTACCTCTACCAAGCTACATCCCACACCGCCTCTGGCAATAAGTGGAGTGCACATGGGCCTGCAACTGCCGTAGATGCCCCCCTCCCCCCCCCCCCCCGACAGTGGTTATTGCGGCGCATCTGGTGCAATTAATGTAGTCTATACACACATCCTGTGTAGAGGGAAACAACTATTTTTGCCATCACCCTCGTGGGACGGTGGATTGAGATTCTGAGCAGGATATAAACTGAAAATGTCCCTATCTCTGGTCTGCCTATCTCTAATGTGTTTATTGCATACACTCAATACATGCATACACAGACGTACACACATATATAGCCTGCGGAGACTGTTTGGGGTAGCAGCTGTTTGCGAGCACATAATGAAAACATAACGGTTTGTTACGCGCACAAATTTCACGAAACGGACATTGTTTGAGCGGAGACTTGGCGGCCCGGAGCATAGGCTATTTATTATTTGTATGACAGTCTGAACAAGTGTGGCGCCTTTCAGCCCAATTCTGAAGGTAGGGGGAGTTTAAATGCTTCGCATGTGGAGAAAGCTCCAGGTGATAGGAGCAGCCACGGACAAACACCACTCGGCCAAGACAATCCTGGTTTTGAGGACGATCAGCAAATCTTGGGACATTCTCCGTAGAACATGGCGCTTCTGTGGTCAGGTTTAAGGAGAGCGAAGAGATGTGAAGAGTGAAGTGGCACACAAGGTGATGGTCTGGCAAGCACCATGGCCAAATCCATTTTATCCCCAATTCTAATGTTTACAAATGCACCAAATATTCATTTAAGGCTGAGTCATCTTAAGGGAGTGCCAGGACCATTGAGGATATCACTCACCACTAACAACTTGGGTCACAATGTTTTTATGCAGTGCACAGCTCTCCATACACTTGCAAAGACAAACATGCATTTTTACACAAGTGCACACACACAGCAGCAACATTAACATCCTCATTACCATCAGCAGCAGCAAGAAACCACATCAACAGCAGTGGTGGGTCTCGTGGGGAGACTGGCCCCTGCCATGAGAATAATTTCTACTGCTGATTCACGACCACCTATTTAGATGAGCATCCACATGTGCACAGGTACATGTGTATACCTACACAGGTGTGTGTTTCATCGATCTTAGCCTGATGGTTGGCCCATGGGTCTGGGTGGGGCTTGTGTCTTGATAAAATGAAGCAATGGCACCTTTCCATCACTCCACTCCTAAAATTTGATTGTCAAGCAACATGCGAATAAGCCCTCCCTGCTAATCCGTGGGCTGGGGGGGGGGAACCCACTACAATCATGAAGAGTAAAAATATGCCTTGGCAGGCAATTTCCTGGTTGCGGGACTACCAGACCTATTTTGCATGTAGTGAAAGTTTCGGCATGGTATTTTCTATCATATTTTGAAGTGGGGTTTATTTTACTTCAACCTTGTGAACACATTTTTTTCTTGAATGATAATACACTGCCTGTCACGTATCCAAGAGTAAATAATTTAATCGTTGAGGCCATGTAAGAGCATACTGATATAAATGGGTGTTTTTTACAGAACAAAAGTGTTCATATATCATGCCTGTCACATGTGTGCATAAATATGTAGCCTTCTTAGCTTTGACCTAAATGTCATTGGCTTTCAGAATCTGAAGCATGCATCCATATTTAGCCTTCTCAGCATTGGCATTGATGTCATCTGCCTTCAGAATCAATATTTGGTATCGGATTGATCAAAATATTCCTTTCCTGGCACAACATAATGTAGTTATAGTCAACTTTTTAAAATTTCTTGAGGAAGTGTATTTTCACATTGTGAGACCTTTTGTAAAATACATTTCATCTCGTATATTCATTGAATATCACATATCCATTGGCTCACATTGTTGAAATATGTAGTTGGATATTTATCTTCTGGTATATACGTGCATAGCTGTTTTTTCAGCCCTTTTGTGTGTCCACTGAATGACCCGCCCAAATTCACTTGACCTGCTTTATGCCAAAATGTGTTTCGCTCTCATTCCTTAAAGTGGGTGTATAATACCAAATATAATACATTACAACTTCAAACTATTAGATTACATCTTTTTGATTCCTGTCTGCAATCAATATATAGCATTTTGTAATTTTAACTTGGACTACATATTCTTTATGCCAAAATTAGAATCATTGTGTATTACACATGCAGAATATTAAACTTCTCATTAGTAATTTGTAAGGTTATATTGTGTATTAATAGTGCAGCAGAATTCTGGGAATTCGGCACTTAATCATGTCACGTATATTGTCAAACATTTAGGAATTTTTATTATTGGTTCTTTCGGTAAAGTCACGTAGAAGGGAAACAATAAAATAATAATATAATAATAAAAATACGTGACTTTTCCTAAAGAACCAAGAATATGAATCCCTGCAGTCACGAAAGCTTTAAATCAAAATGTAGGAATTTGTTTCAATTCTGTTCGTTTGTTTTCGCCAGGAGATCTGCTTGCTTCGCTTTTACCCAGCCACGGAGGAGGAGAAAGTGGGCTACGTGTCGCTCTTCTCCTACTTCAGCAGCCGCAACCGCTTTGGCGTTGTCGCCAACAACTGCCAGTATGTGAAGGACATGTACCTCATCCCATTGGGAGCATATGACGATGTGCCAGAGAACCTGCTGCCTTTGGATGGCCCAGGTGAGATGACGGTCAATGTAACGATGTGTTAATCTGGCGGACGTGACGGCGCATGCCTGCAATCCAGCTCCGTGGAGGTGGGGTTAGTAGATCGTGCATGTTTCATTATGCGGTGTGAAATGTGCGGTATGCGGGAGATGTGAAATGTCCACTTGGTGGCAGCAGAGAAAGGGGGTGGATACCTTTCCATGGAGAAAGAATAAGCTTTGTCCTGGAGTATTTCCATGTATTTAAAATACCCAGAAATTTTAATGGAATCCTACATTCAAGACCCTCTTGAAAATATTTTCATAATTCTTTTTTTGGGGAAAATGGGATTATTTGTATGATTTGGATTACCATTTCTTATCAAATTACTTCTGGCTTTTAAAATGACTGCCTGTATTGACCATTTTCATATGTCTCTAATCATCATCAAACTTTTCTTCTCCATGGTATCCTTGTGCAGATGCAGTTGATTTTATGTCGATATGTGACCCTGCCTTATATCTCTCCTTTTGGTTATACCAGGGGTCAGCAACAACAATAACAGCATTTTTTTTTAAATCGGTAAAAAAACTCAATATGTCAAGGGCAACAATGCATGTGAATGCAAGACGGTCCTTTATAAATAAAGTCACGAAGCAGTCCTTAGAGCCACATGCAGCCCTGGAGCCGCGGGTTGCCGACCCCTGGGTTATACTTTTGAGCATCCTCCCACTGTGCCAAACCATCAGTATCCTTTTTCAAAGGACATTGCCTCTCATAGCAAAGTGTTTTTATCAAGCATATTTTTCCTACTTCCTTTTTTTAATGTATGTATACTCTGAGATGTGAATTCAAACCTGTCTTGCAAACGATTTATTGATGCATCTTGTCATCCTCGTGTGCATGGCTTTCAGGCTGTGATCTATTGTGTTTAGTAAAGTGACAATGTTATTGATCCATATGTCATACCTGGCAGTGTGCATTTTTCTTTGCATTGGCCAGCATTGTAAAATACCAGCATGACTCCCAGATGTGGCCAATGTATTTATTTTGATGATTAATAACGTATGCACAGTTTGCATTAAAACTGCGGACATCATTTGTTATGTGCCTAACCGTGGTCAACTTTAGTGTAGACACAGAATTGGCAGTGGTAGCAATTGCTTGATTATATTTTTTTGTAGAACATTGGTTATGAAGTCAACCATATGAAATTTAAATTGACACTGCTTGGGAAAGGCCTTGCCAAGCCCTTTTTGTGGCACGTTTTGGTTTTATCATTCTTCACACTGGTAAGTGTGGGTTGGTGGCCCAAAACCGGTTTAGATATCACCGCTGACGTTAGCCATGGTTTGGAATTGAACTCAGGGCAACTGAGTTTAAGCGCAGTTTACTATTAACTGTGTCACCGATACACTCCACCATATATTTGTTTCACAATGTAAAAGCGATCAGTATTCATTGTCATTGATTCTTTAATGGAATGTTCCATCATATTAAGGTTATCTGTTACAATTATAATGCACACTATTATGAAAGATAGGTGAAGCTTTCAATCATTGATTGTCAATGCAATGTATGTACATATCTGCAATCGAGTTTTACATTGGACCAGACATAATATCACCTGCGTAGAATCCAGCACCTTGGAGATGGGTTTGGTGGATCATACAAAGATTAATTATCAAGTGCTATGGGACTCCCAGGTTATTGGATGGTTAGATGGTCAAGAGATGAAAGTATGTCAAATGGTTTTGTCACATGTGGATGTCTATTAGTATAATTGCATCTGCAAAGGTGTTGTCCAAGTTTTTAACTTAACCTCTCGCACAAAATAAAATGCTATTCTGTAAAAAAAAAAGTCTTGAGAATCAATGAAGTTTTCATGCATCAACAAGGAATCGTTGTTTTCCTAACATACTGATCTTCTGAAACTCGTTCGTCTTCAGGATTGGAGCAGACGCGACCGAACATGCTACTCGGGCTGGTGGTGCGGCAGAGATCAAAACGGAGGCTGCCAGGCGAGCATCCCTTTGACGCGCCAATTCTTTATGACAAAGAGCACACCATTCTGAACAGTCCCGATGATAAGCAGAGGCAAGTGAGCTCTTTTGAAAATGAATACCACCACTCCATTCCAGAGATTGATAGCATTGGAAGATCAACTAAGTATTCAGAAGAGCCAAGCAACTCCTCATTTGTTGAAGATGGCATATCACCACTGATATCTATGTATTCTGCAACGACGACAGGATTCTATGGGACAAGTGATTACACGACAAATTCTCTACCACTGCCTCCGTCTCCACCACCGTATGTTCCAGAAAATAATGTTGACCCAATTGTCCAGAATTTTGCAACTTTGGATGAGACTGTAGATGAAGAGGAGGATCATAACACCGATGATGATGAAGCTTATGACCCTGAAGATGAAACACTTTTTACAGACAACACCCGGCGTTTTGGCCAAAGCTCGGGCATGCTGTCAGTACGAGACAAGCCTCCTGACATGTCCATGGACACCTTTCTTGATACCATTGTTCCACCGGCGAATGTCAGTCTCTCGGAGCAACAGAAAATTCTGGATAACCTCAAGAGACAGATTGCTGAGGAGAAGCGGAAGCTCGAGGAACAGGAGGCGAGTCTTCGACAAATGCCGCCACTGCCTCTGCTGCCTAACGCTGCGGAGAATGTGGAGAGTCTCTCCATCCAGGTGAACAAAAGCAGGGACCCACGGCAGTCGGGGCTCGGTAAGCAACTGAACAAAGCCGAGCCAAGTGCCGTGGCTTCTCACGGCTCGAGTGACGCTGTCTCAAACCAGCGGCACGAACCTGCAAACGAAGGTGCAACTGAAGTCAAGGGCAAAGTTGTGGCACCGAGTCCGCAAAGCACGTTCCTCTTGGCTAGTAGACATGACGCGGATCCAAAAAGGGAGTCGAGAGACTCGAAACAACCGTCGAACTTGAGCCAGAGTGAGAAGCGATCTGGTGGTGACAAACCTTCAGAGCCCTCCGGCTCGGGAAACTCCCACAGGAACTCGTCCAAGGAAAGAGAGCACCGGTCACGCCGCGATTCAAGCGAGTCGAGGTCACAGCAAGGGGGCCACCGGCGGTCAAGCGTCAGCAGCAGTGACAGGGGCGTCGAAGACCGGGACCGGCACGAGCAAAAGAATGCCCGGGCCAAGGGGGGGCACACGGAGCAGCGCTGGGACCGTGATCGCGAGCGCCAGCGCGGCTGGAGCGATGAGCGAGACCGGCGCCGGGGGTGGGACGGTAGCAGCGGCAGCGACAAAGACTGGGGCCGAGAGCGGGACCGGGACAGGGACAGAGATTGGGAAAGAAACTCCAGCGAGAGAAGCCGGAGTAACCGAGAACGGTCGTGGAACCGGGGCAGGGACCACGATAGCCGAGACGCGGGGAGGAGTCGAGACAGGGATAGGTCCAGACACTGAGGTGACTGACCGACATCATGTGCGCTGACCCAATGGGGGGGGGGGGGGGGGGGGGGGGGGGGGGGGAAACAACTCACTTGAGACCAGGACTGTTTTGAAGTCTTGCTGTTATGCTGACTGATGCATCTCAAGTCGAGCGGGCATCGGTCGCAGCAGGCTATCAACAAATGCGTTATTTGATGAGAATATAAGTTGGACTTTAAATGTTTTTCATGAATTGCACCACAGGCTGTATTTGTTGTACATACAATTCGGTATGATCTTTCACGTGTTATAAGCTGTACAATTATTTTATGGCGTTCGTTGACACTTTTGATAAGCAAATCTTACCAATTTTTCATCAGGAGTTTGCCGGCCTCAAAACGTTTTGTTATAAACATCGGTAATTCAATACATTATCTTTGTTATTGCTTTTGCAGGTTGTGTTGTGAAATTCACACTTATTGGATGTTGAAGAACCATGTCACACATGTTAACTGATGTTTTGTTTGTAAAATGTTTATTAAAAAAAACACGTTTCTGTATTTTCTTAATTCTGAATTGCTTGTGACAAATTGAATGTGATTTTTTATACATATATAATTATAATTTTAAAATTAGGGTTTTTTTGTGTTCTCCCTACTTTGGACACATGTTGAGTTGTGGGTGTTTTAATAGATAGTATAAACTAGCATAGGGCATTCTACAAATTTATTCTAAAGTAAAAAAAAGCTCATTTAATGACAATTTAAGATCATAAAAAATGCTGCATTATATTTTTTATAACAGTAATATTTAGCTGTATACTTTTACTCATCTAGGAATCATCCACGCATCACATGTAAATTCAAGTTGTACCACTGTTGTTAAAGTTCAGCTTTAAGACTGTTGGCAATGCTTTTTTTTTATTAAGCCGACCTATGGCATATAAGAGAGATGATTTGTATTAATAATAGCTTAATTTAGATGGCGTCAGGTTAAAAGGTATAAGTTAAAGTTTTACCAATTTGAAGTACTGTGTTATAACTTTGACAACAATGTTAAGATTCGTATTGCTAAAATGTAACATTGGCTGCAACGGTGAGGAAAACAACTTGAATTCGACTTTGAATATTCGGTACGACTTTCACTTCCAGAGTCTTGATTGATTAGTACGGGGCCATGGCTCTTAAGGGCACTCTCTTTACACTTGAAATGGCTGCCACGTTTGGCAATGGCACATTAAGATTGCATAACTGAGAGCCTTTTGATTTCAATGTTCATACGGGGGATCTTCAGCAAGTGTAGAGACAAACGCATTTTTGTCAGATAACACTTTATATCGAACGACGTCCCCATCACCATACTCTACTAATATACACTTGTCCCAACGGCCCACTAACCTTCATAATTCCGGAAGCATATTCTGTAAATATTCTGGTTGGTCCTTGAGCCATTACTGCACCACTCCTTTTACAACCTCGTGCACTTTCAAACCACCCTCTGTCGATCTTTCAGATATCAATAAATGTAACTCCTAAGCGGCTTTGTGTGGGCTATGTGCTAGATCTTTCGGATAATTGCATCCAAGCTTTCCCAACAATTATATTTGCACGTGCAGTGTGTGGGTGAGCATTATCTTTGGTGTCCCACCGTCCCTTTGTCAAGAATCCGGGCTATATCAGAAAGTCAAAAGCTCACCACGAACTACGAGCGTTGAAGGTAAAGCATGATCTGGCCGACCACGTCTCTTTATAAAAATATGCTCACTTTCTGAATGAAGCTGATCCACCATATGTAAATAGTGCAATGATTCATACTCTTGTCGCCATAATGCAGCTCTATAAATGTATATTTAATTTGCATTACAAGGTTAGGACATTTTACAGATGGCTGCTGTTCTAATGTGCAGTTGTGCAAGAATATATTTTGATGATGTGAAACGTCTGCCAATCTCGAAGCAAAAGCTACAAAAAATGTGCATGTGAGTACCAGGATCCTGTCCCCATTCATCACTGTGTGGGATATAAAAAAGCCCAAGTTCATTGCAATTATATTATAATTGGGAAATGTTGCAGAGCAGTATGATAGTTTCATCTCGGCAGCCGTGGAAGAGATTTTTCACAGAACTTGAAATATCTTTGTGGCCTTTTTTACCTTTACATAATAGGGGTCGTATTTCCCCCATACACTTTGTTATGAGATTGTTGCGCACCGTATTCTTCATTATTACCTGGAGTTTGCCAAATTAAGTGCCGAACCAAATTTAACAAGATTTGGTGTGTGCAGTCACTGGTGATTGGGCTGAAACGAGCGATTTCCCCCGCTTAACCCGGTTTCATCACGGCTACCTTGACGAATCCTAACCCAATGACTTCTGAGCTATCCGGCCACCTCTACAACGTAATTAAATAAGAATCCTATTGACATACATGATTATGAAAAGGCATATATTGTAATGCGCTCGTATAAAGAGCAATGCCCACTTTATTTTGCGTATAATTGCTCAACATTGCCTTATTTAAAAAAGCTTACATTTTCCACAGCACTGATAAACACGGGGAGGCTGCAATTAGCCGAAATTAATTTCCACTTTGTAATGAGCTATTCTGATTTAATTCACAAGGTGTGGGGAGAGGATAGGTTCAAGAAAAGCTTTTAATGATGTATCCTCATCAGTTATTTAAATGTATCAGTATTGGATATTATAGGCAAACTTAGGTGGAGCGCCGGCATGGGTTTGCGTTTCTCGCTTTGCTACTTGTTTCAGTGGCACGCAATTTGAGAAAAAAAACGGGTTAATATAACGGATGTATTAATCCTAGTTCTGTGAAAAATCGATTCTACAGCTGCCGACTTAAAAACTATCACACTTCATCGTAGACGTAAAATGTCATTTCGGTATTTTATTTTCTGGCCACGTGTGCAGACGTCAGTCATGGTTGTGATGAAACCGGGTTAAGCGTAGGAAATCGTTCGTTTCAGCCCAATCACCAGTGACTGCACACAACAAACAATCTTAAATTTGATTTTGCACTTAATTTGGCAAACTCCAGGTAATAATGAAGAATACGGTGCGCAACAATCTCGTAACAAAGTTTATGGGGTAAATACGACCCCTAGTCTGTAAATGTAAAAAAAAGGCCACAAAATATTTCAATAAGTTCCGTGAAAAATCTCTTCCACAGCTGCCGACACAAAACTATCACAATTCATCGTGGGCGTAAAATGTCATTACGGTTTTTTTTAATTTTATTTCTGGCCACGTGTGTAGACGTCATGGTCCAAATTTTATTTGAAAGATCACTCGCAAGTCACCTACTTGGGAAACCACGGCAACATTGCCCCGCTCATGATAGAACTAAAGCCGACTTACAGGCTGGTTCTGTGGTCACCGTGCGCCGGACAGAAACATCTGCCACTCCCAGGGGTCTCTTGCCACAGGGCGCCTCAATGTTTTGAATTGGAGGCTTGGTATAAATATGTGGTGGTGGTGGTGATGATGATAAACTACAATGCAGTGGAATACAGAATCAACAAAACGGAACCAACTTTTCACCAACTGGCATGTTTTATTTAGAAAAATATTTAATCTTGTTAAAAAATTAAGAATTGTTACTTTTTGGCTGGACTGGCTTTCAGGGAATATGAACATTGCCTCGTATAAAATTTTGATTTAAAGCTTTCGTGACTGCAGTAATTCATATTCTTAGTTTTTTCGGTAAAGTCACGTTGAAGAGAAACAACAAAATAATAAAATATATAAAACAATAAAAAATTCTCACGACGTTTCGACCATAACTCAAACGGTCATCTTCAGGTGTGAAGATGACCGTTTAAGTTATCTTCAGGTGTGAAGATGACCGTTTGAGTTATGGTCGAAACGTCGTGAGAATTTTTTATTGTTTTATATATATTTTATTATTTTGTTGTTTCTCTTCAACGTGACTTTACCGAAAAAACTAAGAATATTGCCTCGTATTGTTTTAAATTACCTCAAAGTTTCACTCAAGTAACTGCTTGTTTCCAATATTTACATTTGGAGCACAGCAGCCGCCATTGTATAACACTATATAACACCACCAATGTATGATCATAGGGTTTTCCCCTTTTTTCTGGCAACAAAATAGGTGTTCAGATTTTGATTTAAAGCTGTCGTGACTGCAGGGATTCATATTCTTGGTTCTTTCGGTAAAGTCACGTAGAAGGGAAACAATAAAATATTGTTTTATTTTTTATTTTATTGTTTCCCTTCTACGTGACTTTACCGAAAGAACCAAGAATAGGTGTTAAGATGTTAAAACACCAAACTGAAACCTTTTACAAGGAATCATGTCTACATTAACCACAATGCTTGTGGTCAGAATGCAAACAAAACACATACTATGCATTGTCCTTGAAACTGATTGGTCCACACCAGAGACAGCTTTCTTTTATTATTATCAGAATGTGTGTTTTGTTTGCATTCTGACCACAAGCATCGTCGTTAATGCAGACACTATTCCTTGTAAAAGGTTTCAGTTTGGTGTTTTAACATCTTAACACCTGTTTTGTTGTCATAAAAAAGGGGAAAAACCTTTTATCATATTTTGGTACTAATGTAGTGCCGTAGATGGGCCGCACTTACCGGCGGTGGTAGACGGGGCCCATCTGCAGGGGTACCTCGTACCGCCAGGGGAGGGGCTGCAGTACCAGCCCAAGAGGGCTGCTGGGGGCTCAGGACCCCAGGCTGCTGGGGGCTCAGGACCCCAGACAGCTAAGCCCCTCGGTGCCCTCAACGGGGGGGGGGGGGGGGGGGGGGGGGCTGCGGGGGTTCTCGGATCCCACGCAGCCCCACCCCTCGATGGGCAAGGGGCATAAACGGGGACCTCCCCAGCCGATGGGGACCAGTCGCAGCCGAAGAACGAAGACCAGCAGCCAGCTGAAGACCCCGGCGGACCCCCTCGCCCCGCTGTCCTTGTAAGAAGGGCCGGGACGCTGCGCTGGGCCGGTGGCGAGACCCTGGGACTCCCGGCTCCACGCCCTTGTAAGGGCGAGCTCCGAGGAAGCCAGAGGTCGAGACCCGCACCTTGGGTGGGTCGGGTCAGGGTAGCCTCCCCGAGAGAGCGTAGCCAGTGTCAGGCACGCTAGAAGTAGCCAGTGTCCCTAGGCTGTGTGCGGGTGTTGGCGTGGTGTGTCGCCTCTACAAGTGTCTCCCGAACCCATTGCACTGGCAGAGAAGGTCCCATTATATAGACCACCAATGTAACCATTGTAAACGAGACAGTTTTGTAAAGAACATCGGCATCATTTCTGAATGCTGAACAAGTTTGCATTTAATGAGCCTCTGGGTGGGGACAGGGTGAATAAATTGCGTTTCACATAAGTGCTTTCCAAATAACCATTCTGAGTCCTTTGGAAATAGCCGAAGCCAATGCAGCAATTTTAAAGTCAAGTGAAGTAAGATCATTAAAAGTCACTGCCTCCATATGTCCAATTCCTTTCAGTCAACTGTATCCAGTTCATGTACAACTTTTCCAAATCTCTCATGTCCAACAGCAATATGCATGTCGTAGTTAATGTGAGCGTCGCTATGGTATAAT